TGATCATCAGCGTTGTTGCACGCAGTTGGGTCTTGTGCCTGTCTTGCCTCACTTGCTCTCCTCTTGACCTTACTTGTACCTTCGCCTATATATACTCTTGCTCTTGCTTACTTGACTCTTGTATATCTCTATATATGATCTTGCATGTGAACTGGCCTTCTGGCCTTTGAACTTGTGCTCGGAATGCGTGGTGACTTTGTGATCCACCCTGAGCTTTGCTTTGCTTTGCTTGACTGGTCTTGTGACCCCTTGTTCTCCCCCACTTTGCCTATGGGGGTGTGTCAGAACATATAGCTTACTTGTTTCTGTAGGCTATAGTGGGGTATCCCATAGGGGGTATAACCCAAATTAGGGTTTCCTATTTGTACTCACTTCGTTCATAGTCATTTCATTCTCGTTCATATCTTCTCAGAAGGAGCACGTGGAGCATCTGCGGAAGGTGTTCGAGATCCTGCGGAAAAATAAGTTCTACGAGAAACTGTCAAAGAGCGACTTCGCACTGAAGAAGGTGCAGTTTCTCGGGCACATGGTGAGTGCCAAGGGCGTACACGTGGACCCGCGGAAGATCGAACCCGTTAAAAAGTGGAAAGTTCCTGAGAACGTAAAGGAGTTGCAGCAGTTCCTAGGCTTCGCCAACTACTACAACAGGTTCGTGCCCTAGTACGCTAAGATAGCAGCGCCACTGACCGACCTACTGAAAAAGGATACGCCCTTCAAATGGGATACTCCTCATCAGCAAGCCTTGGAACAGTTACAGACAGCACTGACCACAGCACCAGTACTCATCCTACCGGACCCCGAGAAGGACTACGTAGTTGAAGCAGACGCTAGTGACCAGGCAGTCGGAGAAGTACTAATGGAGGATCACGGGAACGGGTTACAGCCTATCGCTTACCTCAGTAAGAAGCTACACGGAGCAGAACTGAACTACCCCATTCACGACAAGGAAGCCTTAGCAATAGTCGTCGCCTTCAAGGCATGGAGGTGTTACCTAGAGGGAGCCAAGACCACAGTCTATACTGACCACTGCAGCCTCAAATACCTGAAGTCGCAGCCTACGCTCTCACGACGACAAGTGCGGTGGGTGGATTTCTTGGAGACCCACTTCCACTACGACATCGTCTACAAGCCCGGGCTACACAACAAGGCAGACGCGTTGAGCCGCCCTGGACATGTAGCAGGCATCCAGCTCGACGGGATGAACCCTCTGCTCAAGGGTCTATTCCAACATGGGTACTCCGTGGACGCAGAGATCGCTACAGCACAGACTAAGAAGCTGTTACAATGGGAGAAAGACTTAGCGGTAAGGAAGGGTTAAGGAAAGATTTGGGTACCAAATTACGCCCCGCTATGGCGGATCCTATTGGAGGAGTTTCACGACGTACCTTACGCGGGACATTTCGGGAGCAACAAGACGTTAGCAGGGATAGCGAAGTATTACTACTGGCCCGGGATGGCAGCAGACGTGCAGCAGTTCGTCACCTCTTGCGACACGTGCCAGCGGATGAAGAGCAGCAAGCAGAAAAAAGCAGGGTTACTTCAGCCTCTACCCGTACCGGAGCAGCCATGGCAGGTCGTTAGCCTCGACTTCATCACGGGACTTCCTTCGACCTCACGAGGGAATGACGCTATACTCGTGGTGATCGACAAGTTCTCCAAAATGGGTCACTTCATACCAACCAACGCCACGGCTACAGCTGAAGCAACTTCTCGCCTTTTCTTCGACCGCATCATCACCATCCACGGCATCCCCACTACACTCATCTCAGACAGAGACCCAAAATTCACCAGTAAAATCTGGAAGGAGCTCATGGGACTGTTGGGGACAAAGCTTGCAATGTCTTCAGCATACCACCCCCAGACTGATGGACAGACAGAGCGACTCAATCAGGTGGTTGAACAGTTACTGCGCACAGCTTGCAAAGACGACATCAGCCACTGGGACACACAGTTACCGACCCTAGAGTTGGCTTACAACAACGCGTCACATGCGGTCACAGGGAAAACTCCTTTCTTCCTGTGTTACGGACGGGAACCACTCACACCACAGCAGCCAACCACACCGGCACACGTCCAAGCCGCACATGATTTCGTCACCACCATGCAGCAGCTATGGGAGAAGACTCAGTGACGTCTCACCACGATGCAGAACTCCCAGAAGCAGTATGCCGATCGTCAGCGACGTGATCACACAGTAGCAGTCGGAGATCAGGTGCTTCTTGACACGCGCAACTTGAACCTGTCTCACCTCCCATCCAAACTCCGGCCTCGCTTCTGTGGTCCTTTTCTCGTTGAGGCACAGGTGACACCACTTACATTCCGCTTGCGCTTACCAGATACGTGGAAGCTTCACAACGCTTTCCATGTTCAGCTACTGAAGCCCTACAAGGACCCCAACCAACAGTTCCAGGGACGCCAGCTACCGCCACCACCACCACCTGTTCTCATACAGGATGAACCCGAGTATGGAGCGTGTTCTCACTCATCGGCGCCGCGGCGGCAAGACCCTCGAGTTCCTGATACGCTGGAAGGGATACGACGCCACGTCGTGGGGTTGCAGAAGCTGATATGGGCAACGCACGTCGTGCTCTCAAGGACTATCTTGTCAAGCAGGGTGTATCTCACACCACCCAGCTTTGAGGGGGGGACGTGTGAGAGTACGACGGCTTATGCCAGCTATGCTTGCTTGCCTTTACTTTATTATGCTATTTCTAGCATAGGATAATTATATGCATGCATGAATTGCTTGATTTCCTAGGCTAGGTGCTTTCCTATATTTTATTATAGTTATAACACCGAGCTAGGTTGCGTGCACCGAATTCTGGCTTTTCGGTTGCCACCGAATTGCCTTCTACCGAATTCGGGAAGGATCTGTTTGGGATGCTTCGCAACCCGCGGAACCTTTGCATAACACCTGGTTACGGGGCCTTGTGTCGAGCCTATATATAGCCTCGTGTTGTACCTAGGTGATCATTCAATTCAAACTCTCTTTTCTGAGCTTAATCCTAGATCCTCACATCGCCCGTCCCGTCGCACTGCCACCCGTCGCCAGATCCCCGCCACACGTACGCACTCCGCTGCCCGTTGCCAGGTCCCCGCTCGCCCTCCCGTCGACTTCGCAACTGCAGTGAAGGGAGTGGCGGGAGTGGCGAGAGTGGTGGGAGTGGCGGGAGAAGCTGCTGCTACGCCATTGCAAGCGCCAGATCGTCCGCGACCCGCACCCCGCACCCCGCCCGTCACCCGTACACCACCCGCACCCCTCACCCCGCCCGTACGCCACCCGCACCCCGCACCCCGCCCGTCGCCCGTACGTCATCCGCACCACGCACGTTGTCCGTGCCCCCGTCCGCGAGACCCGTCCGAGCCCCGTACCTGCACCCAGATCGCCGTTCTGCCCCAGATCCCGCCCCCCCCCCCCCCCCACCGACAACTGCCACCCCACCCCCATCTCCGGCTCCGTATCCAGCGTGAAGGGGAGGAGGTGTGGTGTTGGCCCGAAGGGGATGGCTGGGGGAGGGGGAGTGGCGGGGTTGGCGGCTCATGTAATGGGGAGGTTGAGGGGGTGGGTGATCCATCTGCAGCTACTGCCGCCACACTTCCCCCTCTCTCTCTCCGCCACTGCTGCAGCTGTGGGGGGGGAGGTTCAAGGGGTGTGGGTGGTGAAATTTCAACTGCAGCATCATCTACCTCTGTCAGAATGTTATGTTTGTCTAGCCTACAGTGGGGTACTCAATAGTGAGTACAGCCCAATTTAGGGTTTGCTATATGTACTCAACTGCTTGCTAGTGAAACCCTCTCTCCATTCATTCCTCATTTATTCACATGGTATAGAGCTGTCTCGATCCTTGGGCCCACCACTGAAATTTTTTCTGACCGAAGCGCGAGTCGCCCCTGCCCGAGGCGCGCCCCGTGGGCCGCCCTCTCGTCGCGTCCCCTGCCCTTAGCGGTCCGTCGCGCCCTTCTAGAGGCCCCTCTCACGGCCCCTCGCGCCACCCCTAGCGGCCCCGTCGCCGCCCCTATCGGCCCCGTCGCCGCCTCCAGCGGCCCCGTCGCCGCCTCCAGCGGCCCCGTCCCCGCCCCTTTCGGCCCTGCCTCGACCCTGCCCCGGCCCCGCCCCGGCCATGCTCCGTCGCCTGTCGCGGCGCACAGGGGACCCGTGCACCGCCCCCCCCTCTTTTCCCGTCGCCTGTCGAGGCGACCTGAGGGGGGCGCGACCTGGGGGGGGGGGGCGAGCATCGCCCCTTCTGCCGCCTCTTTTGGCGCCCTGGGAGGCCGCGCGTCGCCCCCCCCCCCCCCGCGTAACCTCCCTACCCGCCGTCCCGCCCTGCCCGGTGTTAGGGTCTGGGGGTGGCGAGTAGGGGGTGGCGGGTGTGTGGTCTCCCCTGCTCCTCCTCCTCTGTCTCCCACTACTGCAGCTGCCGCTGAGGGGGTTGGGTGTGTGGGAGTCGACGGAGTGGTGCTAGGGGGTGGGGTGTGAGTGAACCTAGGGTGCAGCAGGGGGTGTGTGAAAGGGGGGTGGGATAGTTTGGGGAGGTTGAAGAGGGGTGGCCGCCGTGAAGCCCGCAGCTCCAGTCGCCCGTGAGACCGTTGCGCCTGTCGCCCGTGAGCCCGTTGCGCCAGTCGCCCGTGAGCCCGTTGCTCCAGTCGCCTGTGAGTCCGTTGCTCCTGCCGCTCAGAGTTAGCCGCGGAGCCAGTTACTCTAGTAGCCCATGTGCCAGTTGCTCCAGTTGCCAGTGTGCCAGTTGCTCCAGTTGCCCGTGTGCCAGTTGCTCCAGTTGCGCCGTCTGCCAGCAGCTTCATCTGCCGCCCACTACCTCCTCTCCTCTCATAGTCCCTCCTCCTCCACACTTGCCCCCTGCGATAGCCTCTAGCTTTGCTTACATTTGTGAACTTTAAACTGTTGCTTCTTGTACTTGTGCTCAGATTGTGTGGTGACATTGTGATCCACCCTGAGCTTGTGTTTTGCTTGCTTGTTGTGCTGATTACACCCCACTTTGGCTATGGGGGTGTGTCAGAATGTTATGTTTGTCTAGCCTGCAGTGGGGTACTCAATAGTGAGTACAGCCCAATTTAGGGTTTGCTATATGTACTCAACTGCTTGCTAGTGAAACCCTCTCTCCATTCATTCCTCATATCTTCACAGCCTCCTCCTCCTCTCATCCCTTTCTGCCCGTACCTTGCTGTCCACCCGTGATTCTGCCCGTGATTCTGCCCGTACTGCTGCCCGTGATTGTGCCCGTGATCATACCCGTGTGCTGCCCGTATTTTGCCCGTGTTCTGCCCGTAATCATACCCGTGTGCTGCCCGTATTTTGCCAGTGTTCTGCCCGTGATCCTGACCGTGATTCTGCCCGTGATTCTGCCCGTGTTTTCGCCCGTGATTTTGCCCGTGATTCTGCCTGTGATCCTGCCCGTGTTGCTGCCCGTTCCCGTGCCATACTGCCCGTGCCCACCCGTGTCTCCCGTTGCTGCCCGTGTTCTACCCGCGCCCAGTGTCCCCCGTTCTGCCCGTGCTGCCTGTTCTGCCCGTGCTGCCCCGTTGTGCCCGTGTTGCCCCGTTCAGCCCTTGTCCTGCCCCGTTCTTCCTGTGCAGCCCCGTTGTCCCCGTGTTGCCCCGTTCTGCCTGTGTTGCCCCGTTCAGCCCGTGATCTGCCCTGTTCAGCCCGTGTTGCCCCGTTCTGCCCGTGTTGCCCCGTTCAGCCCGTGTTCTGCCCTGTTCTGCCTGTGTTGCCCCGTTCAGCCCGTGTCCTGCCCCGTTCAGCCCGTGTTGTGCCATGTTCTGCCCGTGTTGCCCCGTTCAGCCCGTGTCCTGCCTCGTTCTGCCCGTGTTGCCCCGTTCAGCCCGTGTCCTGCCCCGTTCTGCCCGTGTTGCCCTGTTCTGCCCGTGCTGCCCCGTTCTGCCCGTTTGTGCCCTACCCGTGCTGTCCGTACCCGTTGGTGCCCCACCCGTGCTGTCAGTTCTCGCTCGTGCCCCACCCGGTCTGTGCTGCCCAGTCTCGTGCTGCTCGTCACCCCCGTGCGGCCCGTCCCGTACAGCACCTAGTTGCTACCCAAACCCGCTACCCGTACTCGTGCTCCTCGCACACCGTGCACCAGCTACGGGGCGTTCAACCGCAGCCAGGCACCTGTTCCACCGCGGTGGTTCTGATGCTGCTTGGTGGTTGCTGCTTGTCAGCTTCAGAGGGGGCCCCTTGCTGGTGTTCCCACGCCTTGTAATGGGGTTTTACAGGTGTACCCCTTCAGGGGGGGCTCTGCACATGGTTATGCACTACAGGCAGATATGGGGTGTGTCACAATAGATTTATTTCTATTTAGTATAATATGCCTGTAGTGTAGCTGCTGTGTAATTCCCTTGTATGGTGGTGCACCTCTTTCATCTTTGTTAGGTTGCTATATGTACTCGTGTGCTATAGTGAACCAACAACCATTCTTCTCAATTCTCCTTGGCACAAACTACTCGACACCCGTTTGGCCTAGGCTACTAAGCCTAGGCCCCTTAGTTAAACCCGTACTCTAGTAAACTTAGTATTGTAACAACGCGTGGGCTGCAGCAGGGCGCGACGCGCAGGACAGTGGGGCGCGCGCTGGGCAGGGCAGCAGGGCGTGACGTGCTGGGCTGCAGGGCAGGGCGGTGCACGGGCCTAAGGGCAGGGCAGCGCGACTCGCGAGTTGCAGGGCAGGGCGGCGGGCGGGCCTAAGGGCAGGGTAGCGCGATGCACGGGCTGCATGGCAGCTGGGCGCGGGCTGCAGGGCAGGGCGGCGCGCGTTGGGCAGGGCAGCAGGGCGCGACTCGCAGGCCGCAGTAGGGTGCAACAAGCAGGGGCAGGGTTTAGGGCAGCGCGACATTGTGCGAGCAGGGCCGGACAGCGCAAAGGCGCTTCGGGCAGGAACTAGCGGAACAATCAGTGGGCCCTAAAAACCTAACAGGTTTCCTGCTCTGAATACCATGTCAGAATTAACTGTGCAGGAATGAATGGACTATGAATGAGTTGGGTACAAGTACTAACCCTTAAGTGTTGTACCCCTTGTAAGCTAACCCACTATCGCCTACAGAGAACACAAACATATAGTTTGACATTTGTGATCCACCCTGAGCTTTGTCTTGTTGCTTCTCTTGACTGGTCTTGGGACCGCTTGATGTTCCTGTTGTTCCCCACTTTGTCTATGGGGGTGTGTCAATGTTAGAATGGACTAAGCTACTAGCGGAAGCTTTAGTAGTCTTAGAACTTCCTCCTAAAGCCTAGGAATCTTAGGAGCCCACTTGGGCATGAACCATGCTAGAACCAAAGTGGCTTCCAAGAAGTGAAGTTCCAACAAGAGAGAACCCTAACCTATAGGGTTTGGGAGGTGGTCCACTCTATAGAGTGTACACCACAAGTTCTCCCAACCCAACCAATGTATTCTACACTACTGCAGTGTAGATGTATCACTACATATGTTTATTGGAGCAACCCGAATTAACCTTGATTCCAACACCCCCCCTTGCTCCAATAAACATTAAAGTTCACCCATAAATCAAAACACAACCCCTCCAGTGAATGAAGCCTTGGCCTTCACAGCCATCACTCGCATGCCGATACGCTCCAGGTTCTCATGCAGCTGCAAGCTTGGAAGAGCTTTGGTGAGCATGTCGGCATCCTGGAGGTGGGAGCGTACTGAGTGCACCTCGACCTCCTGCTGGCGCACCGCATCCCGTACAAAGTGCCGTGCCACCTTAATGTGCTTGGTGCGCTGATGGAGAACGGGATTGTGGGCAAGGGAGACAGTGGCCTCATTATCACAGAGCAATGGAATAGCCCCCCCATCCCCCACATGCATCTCTGCCAACAAACTCCTCAACCAAATGGCCTCCTTGGCCCCCTCCGATAGAGCTTTGTACTCAGCTTCAGAAATGCTTGCTGCAACACTGTCTTGCTTTTTGCTATACCAGCTGATTGCTCCTCCTCCCATCTTAAAGATGTAGGCAGAGCGGCTCTTGCCATCAGTCTCACCACCCCAATCCGAGTCTGTGTACCCAACAACATGCTCACCACCTTGGCGGTCATACCTGATGACACGATCAGCTGTGTCGACCAAGTACCTGAGTGCTCTCAGTGCAGCGCGCATGTGAATGCGTCTTGGTGCCACGCAGGACTCTGCAAGGGTGTTGACAGTGAAAAACATGTCAGGACGGGTGGTCACAGCAGCATACATCAAGCTGCCAATGAGACTCTGGTACACCTTGACATCAGCTGCAACACCTTCCTCAGTCGACCAAGTACCATTCCTGATCTTAGAGAGATCATTGGGTGACATTGGAGTATGCACCCTATGGGTCTCCTTCAGCAGATCACCAAACTTCCCTGGAGACCACAGACATACTTCTCCTGACCAATCTCCAACCACCCATCCTTGACCGACCTGCGAACCTCCACACCAAGGTACGTGGATACCTCACCTAGATCCTTCATCTGGTACCTCTGAGCAAGCACCTCCTTGACCTGATCGATCAGCTCCAAGCGTGGAGACACAAGCAAGAGGTCATCCACATACACCAATACATACACTGGCTCTTCATCCACAAACCTGATGTACAGAGCCTCATCATATGCACTGCGGTCAAACCCTGCTGCAATCAGGGTGGTACCAATCTCCTCATTCCAAGCACGAGGCGCTTGCTTGAGCCCATAGAGAGCTTTGCGCAAGCGATACACCCTACCTGTACCATCATCAAATCCCTCAGGTTGCCTCACATACACCTCCTCTTGAAGGACTGCATTGAGGTAAGCATGATCAACATCCTCCTGTTGTACATGCCACCCTTTTACCGCGGCTTCTGCAAGAAGCACCCGACCTGAGGTGAGCTTGCCCATAGGGGCAAATACCTGATCATAGTCCTTCTCGGGCTCCTGAGTGTACCCCTTAGCAACAAGGCGATCCTTGTGCTGTACCACCTTATCCTCCTTGTCAGTTTTCCTGCGGAAAACATACCTGACCCCAATGGCCTACTTACCTGGAGGTAAGTCGACCGGCTGTGGATCCCATACACCCATAGTGCGCATTGCATTTACCTCCTTCTCAGTACCTGCCTTCCACGCAGGGCCCTCAGGGCCATGCAGGGCCTCAGCGAGTGTGCGTGGGACATCACCGGTGCTCACACCTGCTAGTGCAACACCTTCCACCTCCCTGGCCAAACACAGCATGCCCTCAACCACACCAGCATCCCCCCCTACCTCCTCACCACCTGTACCAGACTGGATACCAAGCACCTGCAAACCCTTAACCGGTGGTGGGGAGGTAGTCGCTGGTGATGGAGGGGCACCCGTAGAGAGAGGGACAGGGCGCTGACCAGAGGAGGAGGAAGAGGAAGTAGCCTGTGTAGCGGATCTCCGCTGAATGACCGAGGGGCCACTGAGCTGCTGCAGAGGGGTGGGCTGCTGCTGCACCGACACACTCAGCGGTGCCGGTGGCAGTGATGAAAGTGGCATCTCAACGTCGTCAGCCGTTGCTGAGGGTGGCGAGAGTGGAAGAGGGAGGAGTTGGGAAATCGCAGCTGCATCCTGCAGAAGCTCCCCAAATCTCTTTGCCTTGTCCCAATCCTTCCACATCACATTCTCAAGAAAATCAACATCCAGCATGAGAGAAGGGTCCAGCATGTGCCAACCCTTGCTCTCCATGTCCACCCCAACACAGACACACATGACAGCCCGTGCATCAAGCTTGCCACCCTTCTCATGCCCATGCAGCATGACACTCCCCATGCAACCCCAGATCCGAGCCATGCCCACATGCGGCTTCTGGCCGGACCACGCCTCCATTGGTGTGATGGAGGCAGGCAAAGCACTGTGGGTGACCCTGTTCTTAACCCACATAACCCACATCAATGCTTCACCCCACAAGCGAGCAGGGAGACCACTGTCGACCAACAATGTGCGAATCCCCTCTGCCATCGTCTTGTGCCACCTCTCCACGACCCCATTCTGTTGCGGTGTATCTGCGACACTAAATTGGGTTTTGATGCCAAACTTCGCTTTCCATGCTTTCACAGCGTCCCCCAAGAACTCGCCACCCCTGTCGGAGCGAACAGCCTTCAGCTTCCGCCCACACTCCAACTCCACGTCCTTATGCCACTGGCGAAGGACTTTTGCGACTGTGGCCGATTCCTTGTTGGGGAGTGGGAACGACCAAACTCGTCTGGTGAAGTCGTCAATGAGACTGAGGACATACACCGCTCCTCCCAGTGACGGTGTGCACACTGGCCCCCACAAATCCATGTGGACCTCATCCAAAGGCCCAAGTGCCCGAGACGCCTCGTGGGGAAACGGCTTCCGAGCCGACTTTCCCAATAAGCAAGGCTCACGTGGGGAGCAATCAGTGCTCCCCCCCCCCCCCCCCCCCCCCCCCCCAATCTCCAAGCCCAATACAATGTTCCTCCGAGCCATCTGTTGCAATGTTGTGGGGGCGGTGTAACCAAGGCGGCGATGAGCAAGGGTCAATGGGGAAAATGAGGAGGAGGACCCAGCTGCAAGAGCACTGCCTTGTGTGCCCCGAGCAAGAGGAAGAGACATCCGCACCAATCCATAGTCCCTGCCCCTCTCCTTTTCTCCAATCGCCAACACCCTCTCCCCCTGTTTAAGAGCACATTTCTTACCCTTGAATGTGACAATGGCATCTCGAGAGGTGAGGTGTGGGACTGCCAGCAGACGAGTGTGCATCTCAGGCACAAGGTGGACCTTTTGAATCCTCAGCAGCTGACCTCCAGCACCAACCACTAGCACCTCACCCATGCCATCAGCTTTCACCACCTGTCCATCTCCCAATCTAACTCCCCGAACCTCTGGTGGCTAAAGCTTACTTTTGAAGTCCGAAGCAATAGTAAAGTTGTGGCTGGCCCCACTGTCAATCCACCACCCCTCTCGCGGCTGCTCCTCTCCCACTCCTGTAACTGCCTCTCCAACCACTACCTCTGCCTTGTCATCCTGCTCCTCCTCATCCGCCACCTGTGCCTTGCCGTTGGATCCACGACCCTCCGGCTTTAAGAATGCCGGAATGCCTCCCTTAGGTTGATGAGGACATCGCTGCCATGCATGTCCCTCATCCCAACAGCCATGACACAACCCCCGAGGAGCCATGCTCTTGGACCCCAAGGGGAAATCAAGCACTCCCGCTTTGCCTTTTCCTTGACCCCATCTGCCCGAGTTAGTGTCACTGCTGCTACCGCTGCCTCCATGCTTTCCTCCCTTGTCCCAATTTCCCCTGCCGCTGCTGCCCACTTTCGTACCCGCTCCAAAAGTGGCTACACCATCCGATCTTGGTGCGACACCAATCCGCATCTCCTCGCTCCTCAAGGAGGTAAGCAACTGATCCTTAGTAAGCGATGGTGATTGCTTGTTCAGCACTACCTTCAGCATCTCAAAGTGAGGAGGTAGTCCTTTGAGTACCCTCATCATCTACTCCTCAACCTCCTCCTTCCCTCCTGCAGCCAAGTACTTGGACCTCAAGTCCTCGGCACGCGCCCAGTATGCAGCCAATCCCTCCCCTTCTTTCATCTTCAAGGAAGAGAGTTCCTCAAAGAGTGCCATCCGGTTACACAATCCACGCTGAAGGTAGAACTCCTTCACTCGTGTGTATGCCGCTGCTGTGCCTGCAGGAACTCGGGTGACCGCTCTTGCTCCGCCATCAACAAGTGCGTTTCCCAACTCGGTCTTGCCGCCGAACTCCCGTACCAAGCGAATCAACTCATCTGGCACCAAGGCATTGCAGAATTGGGCAAATGCCTTCTCATTTCTCCTCTCCCACTTTAGCCGTGCGTCACCCGATGTAGGCCACTCCTCCGAACCATCAAAGTACCCACATAGATCGTGTGCCTCTGCCCATTGCTCGAATCGGAAGCTCCAAGTCCAATAGTCGCTCCCGTCGAACTTTGGCACACTCTCCAGCTTCCCTTCACCTGAGTCATGATCCATTTGCAGCAGGAGCACTGAAGATTGACGTTGAGGTGGTGGTGGAGACAACGGCGGTGACGGTGAAGATGATGCGGGCAGATTCACACCCTCTTGGTTATTAGAGCGTAACTCCGTGCTCGAACGTCCGAATGATGAGCCATTTGGCTCTGATGAATCCTTGCTCCGGGACCGTTCCGTTGATGTATCGCGCTCCTAGATCCCACGTCCGAGCTGGCCGCTTAAACTCGTCGAAGTTGGCCGATTTCCCGTTGACGAAGACTCGACCGTTTCTCCCAATTTTTGGCTTGTTGGATGCGCCCTGGCCTCCTCTGTCGGCGTCTACCCTCCAATTTTTTTTCCAATTCGTGCGCCGACTATATTTCGCGAATTGCGTCCGATCCGCTCGTCGATTGGCAACGACCCCGCGACAATTGTTGTAGATCGTGCCGAGGCCTTTCCAAAGGTATGCTGCACCTCTTGATCGGCCAAAGTTGACTGAGCGCCTCCGTGAATGGATGTCGCTCTTCTCGTCCTCTTGAACGGATCCACACGATTTCCAGCAGTTTTCTTCTCTCCTCCCCTCCGACGTCCAGAGTCCGCCACGGTGCAATTTTGGCAGCCCTTCGGGAGGGATGGAAGCTATTTAGCTTCCACCAAGGTGTTATGATCAAATTTCTTGAATAGCTCCTATTCCAACAGATTGCTAGGCCTTCCTAGCTCTGATACCACGTTAGAATGGACTAAGCTACTAGCGGAAGCTTTAGTAGTCTTAGAACTTCCTCCTAAAGCCTATGAATCTTAGGAGCCCACTTGGGCATGAACCAGGCCCCTAGATTCGTTTTGGACCAGGCTGATCGATCAGCGCTGGTACGGAAAAAAACGCTGACACTCAGCGTTACCTAGGAAAACAACTCTGAAAATCAGAGTTCATAAAAATTTTATGCTGATTCTGTATAGCTTTGATTCTAAGCAGAATCACGAATTACATATACTTTGTGTGTAACATTTTTATGGTTGGTTTGGAAGTGGCGAGAGAGGCAGGCGAGCTTTGGGGAGGGGCGAGGTGGGCTGGGGGAAGGGGTGAGAGAGCAACCTGGGCTGAGGGGAGAAACGGGGGGGTTATTCAACAGGATAAACCCCCCTTTCAACCTGGAGGAGAGTTGAAATGGGGGTTTATTAGAGTGGACGAAGTAGGCCGGGGGGAGATTTGGGTGAAACACGTGGGCTGGTGGGGAAATTCGAGTGGAACACGGGGGCTAGGGGGGAAATTCGAGTGGAACATGATGGATGGGGGGGGAAATCGAGTGGAACACGGGGGCGGGGTGGGGGGGTGTGGAAATTCGAGCGGAACATGGGGGCTGGGGGGAAATTTGAGTGGAACACGGGGGCTGGGGGGGGAAGTTCGTGTGGAAGTGGTGTGCTGGCGGAAATCACTGTTTTCCGGTTTCAGTGTGTACCCACTACAAGGCTGAGTGCTCAGCATACACTCATAAAAACAGGCTGAAAATTCAGCCAAGGTATAGAAAAAAACACTGAAAAATCAGCCAAGGTACATAACAAAAAACTTTGGATTCAGCCTAACCCCTAAAAAAAAGCCTGATCTAACGCTGAATCAGCAAAAAAAGGCTGATATCTAGGGCACTGGCATGAACCATGCTAGAACCAAAGTGGTTTCCAAAAAGTGAAGTTACAACAAGAGAGAACCCTGTTGGGAAAATAAACGCATGACTTAGTGCGTTTCTGTAGTATCGAACCTCACCCGATACTGAAGCACAACAAAAGGAGTACGAAGTCGAAAAGGCGCGTACCACATCAAACCGCAACTAGAGGTTGCGAGCTGTAACCGCCTGGAGGTTACGTAACAGCAAGCGACGCTTCAGTGAACAGTAACCACCTCGATAGTCAAAGCGCTACGCGTCTCGATAAACATAACCGTTCCTTGTAATCTATCTTTTCTATATATTCCTGTATGCCCTTTACTTTAATCAATTACTTGTTCTCACATACCAGCACAAGTACATTCACTCAAGACTTCCGCTGTGCTACTCTAGCACTTACTAGCCTATTCTCTGCAAAGATCCTAAGGCTGAAATTCTCAGCCCAACATGGTATGAGAGCAGTCAGAGAACAAAGGCTCTCGTCATTAAGCCTCTTTCAGGCTACCAATCTGCAAACGACCAAGAAGTTCAACCTTCACTCAAGAAAGGCAAGACATGGCAAGTGGCAAAGAAAGAAGATCATCTACGGGATCTACTCTACCCCCGGTCTCCGAGTTGCAGACCGAAGGAGGAACAACGCCCGGATTAACACCGGAAGCGACGGAACGCTCCACTCAAGCACCAGTGGCGCCGCCAATCTTCAACCCAAGCCTAATGGAGGAGTTCTTCAACTTCATGTCGCAGCAGCAGTCCTCACAACCTGCAAACAGCAACAGCGTAAACAACGGAGCGGCACCAATGAGTATTGACAACTCATCGTTCGGACGACACAATCAACAAACACCAAATTCGGTCTCACCTGGTTCCTTCACGTTCATGCCGCCCCGCCATCCAGCGACTCCTCTTCCCGCCATCAAACGAGACACCGAAGAAGTCCTGCAAGTACAAGCACAGTTCAACAACATCCTACGATTGCACACATCCACACCATTCAACGGGAAGGACTTCTACTCTTGGAGCTTCGAATTTGAACTCCTGATGGAAGGCGCGAATCTTCTTGGCTTCTTCAACGGTACCTGGCCATATCCACACAACGGCGAAGACAAGGACAAAGAAAATTATACGTATCACTCCCTCATGGCTTACACCGTTCTTCTCCGAAACCTGTCGCCGAATGAACAACAAAGCATCCGCGCCTACCGGAACTACGCAAACTCCGCGGAACTCGCTTATCAACATCTGCGAAGTATTCATCAAGCATCCGACAGCGTTACGCAAAGCCGACTCATGGCACAACTAACAACAGTTCAAATGCAACCTGGAGAAAAGGCCATGCCTTACATCAGTCGCTGTCAAGGACTACGCGACAGACTCATTCGCTGCGGAGGAAACTTATCTGAAGAAGCTTTCGTAACCGTCGTTCTTGCCGGCCTTGGACCTCAGTGGCGCACCACCCGCTCACTTCTTCGCGCTCACGGTCGACTCTCCGAAATGCATCTCTGCGCCGAACTTCACGCCGAGCAGCAGGAAATGGACCTGTTCGAAGAACGCAACAACAAAAGGCATCATCAACCAATCGTTCTTTACACCAATCGACGACAGCCACGCTACCAAAATCGAGGACACGTACCTCCCTATTGTCATCTTTGTCGGACTTCAGGACACACACGCTTCAACTGCCCTCAGCAACAACGACAACCAGCACCATTCTCTCGTCCTCTGCGACCAGTGCCTCCCCACATCGCGTCAACTCAACAGCGACCCGCTACCGCCTCAACGACTACTTCAACACGACCGTCAACCTCCACTTCGGGACCTGCACAGACACCAAGAATCGTCGCCATGGCACGAACAACAGAGTCAAACATCGACTCGTGCATTACCGGCTCTCCACCAACTTACAGTCCTGATGAGCAACCATCACCACCACCGTCGTCCCTTAACGTGAATCCAACGTACGCCGCCATCGCGAACCGTGCACCCACCGGACCAGACACATGGTTCCTCGACAGTTGTTGCGGTCATCACATGTGCTCTTCATCACGATTTCTTCAGCGCGAACGACGTCTTCCGCGAGACGTCATCATCACCATCGCCAACAACGAAAACCTGCGCACCAACAAACAAGGAGTCGTGGAGCTTCAGTCAAACGAAACAAACGTTATTCTTCAATTAAACAAAGTACTCGTCGTCGACAACCTCGGCTTTAACTTACTGAGCGTCAGCCAACTCATGTCGAAAGGCGTTCACCTGGAGTGCGACTCCGACGCCCTGGAAATCCGTCTTTACCACGGAAAAGGGGGGGTCTTCATCGGCCGTGCAATCCAACAAGATGACGTGTTCGTCCTCGACTTCGTCCCCGACAAAGGCACCGCAGACAGCGACGGTATAGTCGCTCTCGCACCTTGGACGCATCCGCCAGACCTCGACCCGAACTTCAGTCCTGAAGGCTTCTGGTACTCTCGTACCATTCCCGAAGCTGAACGCACCAACGCGCTTGCCGTCCTGCAAACACAAGCCACAACACCT